TAAAGATTTTTATTGACTTTACCTTGACGCGGTGGCGTTACGCAGCGTCGTCGATATTCGACGTTACGAAACACGTGCGTGCCACTGCGACGCGAAACGAAAACGCGAGCGAGCCGAAAGTTGCGCGGTAAATTTCAAACAGTCTCGCGAACGACATGAACGAGGAGGCGAAACGCGCGGCCGCGATCCATCGAATCGAGATGGCTCGGAAATTCATCCGCGTATCGAATATCGCTGTTCGAAACGATTATCGAATTGTAGGCGGTGACGCTTGGCATCTGGTGTTTTCATAAGCGGCGACCAGCCGATAGAAAAGCGCGTGTCGAAAATGGCGAAAAACGCGATCTTCCGGATGAAGAAGAAACGGTAGAGAGGGCGATCGTGTCCGAGCAGGAGTTATCCGGTGTTTGCGACGAGAAAGCGTTGATCGGGTTGCACACTCGAGCCGTAAATTCGTGGGTGAAAGAGAGGCACTAAACGGAGGATGCGACGCGTTACGCGCGTAAATCGTGGGCACGAGCATACGCGTGGCGATAACGAGAGCCATCGTCGTGGCCCGGGTTCGCTTGCGCGGACCAAGATGCAACGGCAAACTTTTTCGACTAATTCCGGTGACGCGGTATATCCGGACGTTAACCCAATTTAAGATCCCTCCTATTTGAATTCGGGACTGCGCCGGTGCGGAGTGACCCGACCCGGTACGAGGTTTATAGGTCACTCCGGTTTCGCGCGATATAGATTTTTCGCGAGCCACGGCTCTCCACGGTGTGTCCCGCCCGTCGCGTGGTCCGACCGACCTCCTCGGAATCCACGCCTGCACCACCGACCCCCGACCCACTCTCTCCGACTCCTCGTTCGACCAATCGAAATCCCCCTATCTGTGCTAGAATACGCGCTACGTCGTCATCCTCGTCCTCGTCGTCGTCGTCGTCGTCGTCGCCGCGACGATACCTTCTTTTCCTCGCGTTCTCTTATCTGTGCTAGAATACGCGCTACGTCGTCATCCTCGTCCTCGTCGTCGTCGTCGTCGTCGTCGTCGTCGTCGTCGCCGCGACGATACCTTCTTTTCCTCGCGTTCTTCTTCTTTCTCCTTTCTTTTCCCGACTGTAGGAAAAACCGTGGAACGCGTTCGTTCGGCCGAATAACGGGAAAATATTATCGAGCTGGTATCGATCGATCGTTCGCTACGCGACCTTTTGGCTTATGTAATAAAACTCGGCGGACTGCATCGCGCGGCGACCCTGCAGCGAGGGTGTGCGCGGGACCACCCGCTATCGAACGCAACCGCTCTACGTTGCGCTCTTCCTCCGCGACCGTTGCGCGCTTCCGGCAAGGACAACGTTGATACCTCGTAACGTCAACTACTACCACCACCACCACCATCGTCACCGGTCGCTTCGCCTTCGTTTCGGATAAGCGACAAAGTCGCGTGAATATTTCCTCCATAAACGTTAGGCAATTTCGCGATCGAGCGGAAACTGTCCTCGAGCCAGTATCGGCGCGCGTCGACGGCAGCGCTCTCTACCTTTTCCACCTTTCCGACGCTATAAATTTTCCCTCGCCATCCACTGTATCCACCCTTCGCATTCTGCTCCATCACCCCTTCTTTGCCGTATCGCTCGCCGCCGCTCGCCGCCGCTCGCCACCGCTCGCCACCGCGTCGTGCCATGCGGTGCGGTGGCGTGGCGTGGCACTCCATGCCGCGCCTCGATTCAGCCCGTTTCCACCAACGGTGACCTAGTTCACGGTAGCGCCGACTGGAATCGTTTCCTTCGCACTTGCCTCGGGATTCAGGTTACGTCGGGATGCCCGTCACCCGCTATGCCGTTGCATCGTTGCGCCGTTGCTTTTGGCTTCCGTGCCCTCGTCGATCCATCGCTTTATCCATCGTTCTATCCATCGCTCGATCCATCGATCCATTCTCGTTCGACGTGGTTTCCGCGGTAGCAGCGAGTATTCTCGCGAGGCCACGTCGCGTCGTCCAACGGGACGAAACGATAATCGTGTTTCGCATGGGTGCACGGGTATGCAGTCTGATGGATATCCCGAGAACGTCCAGGTGGAATATACGTACACAGTCGGCTCGTCGCGTATTCGAGAAAAACGAGAACGAGCGTTTCTCTTTTTCTCTTTGTCCCTATTTTCGCAGAGGAAAAGAGGTGTCGGGGCGCGGCGAATTACGCGTGTCTGGTTCGTGGAGCGAAAGGAAAAGAGACCGGATGAGTACAAAACGCGCGCGGAACAACGGCCGGTAGCGCGAGAACGGTGTCGCGTCTAGACCTGCGGGATGCGCGGAAATGCAGCAGCCGAAGATGGATACACGTTTGAATACGTGCACGCGCGCATACGCTCGCTAACAATCCCTTTCGCGCTTTTCTCCCTTTGTGCCGCACGCTTCGCCCCCTTGCGTAATCTTTCTCTCTTCTCCTTCCGGACGCTCCGAAATTCTCGACGTAAGAGCTGCGCGGGTCGCGTCGCGTCCTTGCGCGATCCCGCGACCACGCTTTGTTCCGCGTTTTCGCGACCCTCTCTGTCTCGAGGGGAATCCTCGGAACCAGCGCGCCTTCCCATCGATTCCTTTAAATTACCAACGAAACGATCGCCGAATTGTATTTTCATCGGCGTACGACGATTCCGTTCCACCCGCAGAGGCGAGTTCGCGCGATCGTGGCTAGCTCTGTACGCTTACAGGTGCAAGGCAAGCAAACGACGTGGCTGCATTTCGTCAGCTATCGTAGTTGGAAGTAGGCCAACGTTGTTGCGAGAACACACCCTTGCGGTCGTATAGCGCAGAATCCTTCTTCGAATTCGTGTTCTTCGTGGTCGTAGTCGTGGTCGTCGTCCCGTCCCGTTTCTTCCGTTTCTTCCGTGAACCGACTTTTCACGCGACACGATAGGGGAAGAGGTCGCGAGGATCGATCGAGCCTGGAAAAATGCTCCGAATCGGGTTCCTCGCTGGCTGCCAAACGATATTTTCGTCGTTTCGTTTTCGTCGTAAACCAATCGAGGATGCCCCGTCGATTACGGTTTCCCCCCTCGTCTCTTCTGCTCGTGTCTTGCTTTTCGTTCGCGAGCGTACGGATCGAGCGATGTCGAGATGAAAAGAGCGGAGAAAAGGTATAGAGGGGAAAAAAGGCGAAAGGGAAATTGAATAGGTAAATAGATAAGGAAAATTAAGAGAAAGAGGAGAGGAAGATCGGGTGAAATTGGGGTGGTACTGCGATGGAGCCTGCACGGAGGTTGCTGTCGACGCCCTGCCGTCGCTTCCTGGTTTCCCTATATTGATTTTCTAGCATGCCTTCTGCTAGACGGAAACGGAGCGAGAGGACGAGAAGGAGGGAGAAAGAGAGAGCGAGAGAGCGAGGGGGAGAGAAAAGGTTGCTCCGCGCTTGTGCCCGCACACGGATATGCGCGCGTGCACGGAAATCGGCTAGCAGGGTGCTCGTGCGGCCATTCGTGATTCGCGTTTAGGAACGCGTATATACGCGTGTGTAGGAGAGAAGCGCGGGCGCGCTTGCGTGCGCGCGCACGTGAGTCCAGTCACGTTTGCGGCAATGTGTGCGCTGCTGTAAAACCGGGGAAGGGGAAGTGGGTTGGAACACGGAGAGCCGTGTTCACGTGGAAGGGTGGAGAGAGTACACCTCGGGGTTGCAGGTAGTACGAAGAAAACGCGAATGCGAGAGAAGTGGGGCTACCTTTGCACCTCTGCCTCCGCGCGCCGCCTTATAAGAACGATGGGAGAGCACGAGATGGATTATCCGGCATCGAGCTCGCGCACTTTTCCGCGCCTTCTTTTTCTAATCTCTCTCTATCCATTCTCTCGCTCTTGTTCGTTTTCGCGCACTCCGAAACCCTTTTCCGTCTTGTCGGATACCTTGGTGGACCCGTGCGTTGCCATGGTCTTTTCGTTTCGTTTCGTTCCGTTCCGTTCCGTTCCGTTCTGTTTCGTTCCGCGTCGAACGATCGATCGCGTGAATCTCGTGGTTGACGTTAAACGGCGATGTTAGGTTGCGCGCTGCGTTTAACTTTGCAGCGACGAGTTTGCGACAAGTATTTAGCCAGAGTTTCGACTAAACACGCATTGCCCGTTTCGTTATCGTTTCATCGGAATATCGTAGCAACGTTTTCTCCCGTAACGAACTCTCGTAGCGAAACGAGTTCAGTAGTAAAACACGACGCGTGGTCGGACACTCGCGCCATCGATCGTTTGCTTTTAAACGGATTTCGGGAAATCCTTGGCGCGCGAATGAAATCGTCGCGTTTTTTTCCGTCGATCGTTTATCCCCTATATTCTTCTTTTCCCCTTTTTCTCCTTCTTCCAGTTCTTCCTTCGCAAAGGCGTAACTTGACGCGAGAAAGCGTAAAAAGTGTCGAGTAATACGAATCCGACGACGCGCGTATATTTTCAGCGACGAGCGAACCTGTTCGAGACGAACGATTTTCGTTTTTCCCTAACTTTCTCGATGGAAAATAGACTTTAACCGATAAATTTGCGTCCCCTTTTCTCTACACCCCCGTACTTCCATTCCGCCTAGTCTTTGGTTACCCTATTCATCCGACCGCGCGACATCGCTGTCGGGTAAGTTTTCTATCGAGATACTCGTCCTTGCTGAATAGCCCTTTCTCCGAGAGAGAGAGAGAGAGAGAGAGAGAGAGAGAGAGAGAGAGAAAGAGAGAGAGAGGGGGGTTGGTTTCGATGATGCGCGATAACGAGAATCGAGGGAAAATTAAAATTCGCCGACTGTGGCAACCGAGAACGAATCGTATGCCCGATAATCGGACTGGACGGTGCGGAAGCACCCCTGGCAAAGAAACTAAGGAACGATACCGCGATTTTCTTTCGACACGAGGTCAAATAGTAAAGGAATTGCGACGACGTGTGTTGCAGGATCGTATGACGGCTAATGGAAACTCGCCGTTGGACAGTATGAGAACGTTGGAGCATTACTTGAGCGACATCATGCGAGCTGGTACAGCGGATACTCCGGAACACGTGAAAGGTAAGTGAGGATTCGTTATTTGCCGTTGTTTGTCATTTATTCCGTTTTCTCGCGTGCTCCGCGTGTCCGAGATATTCGTTCGAGTCCGAGATCCATAGAAGCGTCCGAGATCATAGAATGAGAAAAGTGGAGGAAATATTTCGAGAAGCATCTCGAGCGTGCATAACGAAGCATGATCGGCGATAGGTAACGACCGCGGATGGATTCGACGCGTGGAATAAGTCAACTAGCTATCCGAGCAACGAGACCAACGAGAAACCAACGAGAGACCAACGAGAGTCCAACGAGAGACCAACGAGAGACCAACGAAACAGCCACCCAACCGACCACTTAACGTAGACCAGCCCTTCTCGGCACCCTTCTCCACTCGACGCGCGACTCTACGCGCTTTACTCGCTCTATCCCGTAGTACAGCTTGCGAATTCCACGCGACTGTATCTACGCGTCCAGCTCGAGCACGACGTTCCGACACACAGAGGCTGAGCCAAAAGAAGTAGGAAGGAGACTCGCAAACGCTTTGCGTCTCGCTGTGCCCTCCCTCTTTCTCTCCTTTTCTCTTCCCCCTTATACTCGCTTTCCTTCTCTTTCCTTCCCTTTCCTTCCCTTTCCTTCCCTTTCCTTCCCTTTCCTTCCCGTCCCTCCGTTCGCCGCCTCGTTTTCTTTCTCGCGCGTCTACTCACCCTGTCTGCGAGCTCCGGCACAACCCTCAGACAAGCGGTCTCGCGCCTGTAGTCAAGGGCAAGGGTGGTATCGCGAGGCCTCTTCATCCTTATAGTGGTCGTCTACACACCGAAACCGTACGATGCCACCGACATCGACGACCAGAAGGATGAAGTGGTCGGTCGACGCCAACGTCGACTCCTCCTGTCCCCGGTAGCGTACACCGGTGTGCGAGCAACAGCCACGTTTTTCCGTAAATATCGAGAGAGATATCGTGGCGCGAACCGGATCGCGGATTCGCCATCCTATCGCGTGATTATCGCGTTTCCCTTCGAAAACCACCGCCGACGTCTAGTCTCCCTTTGCCTTTCGGTTCGTCACGGACCCTCTTGGCTGTAATTAGAGATCGTTCCCGTCTACGATCGAAATAACGTCGGAAATAACGATCCAGCGGGATCCGCGAACGAATATTCGCGACGAGACAACGATTTCCGATAAAACTGTACGCCTGGATAGAGGTGTAAGAAAGAAAGGCGGGAGGGAGAAGGATGAAAAGAAAATAACCCTCGCGCGAAACGATGTCTAGTCGAAGATATCCGCCGCTGAAAAACGAATAATAGGGTTGAGGGTAGAGAGGATAGGATAGCGAATCGCGGAGTGCGAACGAGTCTTTATTCTAGAACAAAAACCTCTCTCGAGGCATTGTAAGGCTCCGCTGAGTGGGCGTGCTTGCTACGACGCCATCTTTAAAAGTGTCAGCACGGCACTTTAAACTGCAACAGCAGTAGTAGGTCAAGTCTCGGAAAATGCGAGTGCAACCTCGAGACCGGCAACCAGTATCGCGCGTACACCTTCTCCTATACCTTCGCGTAGTCCTTCTTTTCGGCCAAACGAAACGCTCCTCGCGTCACGTGCCTTTGCGTTCGCAGCCTGCGAGCGTATTTCTATGTCAGGAAATGAACGAGAGAAACGCTGCGAAAGAATACTGGAATCGCGTGGAATTAAAAGACGAAAGGAAATTGCCCGTCTCTTAAAGAATAAGCTCATCGTTTTTTCCGTTATCTTGGCGGATTTTTCGTATTGCCGCGTCGGGAAGCACCGCGACGTCGGTTATACGCCGGTTAGAGAAGAGGCAGAGAAGAGGCAGAGAAGAGACAGAGAAGAGCCTAGTGGCCAACTAGCGGCCAACTTTGCGTCCTTGAACGACACGGGCTTTACGATTTCATTCTTTGACCTATATATCGCGAATACGCGTGTCGCGTAATCGGTTAGTAACGCCGACGGGATTCATAGAGGGTGGTTTTACGCCGCGCTCCAGCCTTCTAGGGTTTCATTGGATCGTGCTTTCTACCCCTCCGTTCCCTTTCTATCTTTCGCGCACCCCATCTCGGTACCCGCGCACAACCGTTATATCGCATACGCGTAATCGAAGAGGTGAATGGATAAAGAGAAGACCGTTAGTTCGGGATGCGCGTGTTGCGTTTTACGCGAGTCGTCGCTTAGTTTTCTTTTCGCTATACATCGATATCTTTCGGTATCTTTCGGTATCTTTCGGTATCTTTCGGTATCTTTGCTCTCCGAGAAACGCGTGGACTCGTCGCGACGATTTCTCCTATCGATCCCGGTCGTATCGACGCCGTTGTCGTTTCGCGATTCTCGAGCTTAATCCAGCGCGGCATTAATGTGGCACGGCGGATCGTGGTCGGATCCGACCGAAAAGAAAACGTAGGGAATGACTTTGCTCGGTGCGACCAAGCGTTTGCCCGTTACGAAATGGCGTCGCGTAGACGCGATATTGGCCGAGATTATGCGACGATGGCTCGACGAGGATGCGGCCGGTTATCGATCGTAGTCCACGCAAAAAAAGTTGTACTATGACGCGATCGCGGCGCAGGTGAGATGGTCGGGTATCTTATTTCAGGTAACGAACGCGATCGGAATTTCGCGAATCGTCGTACGTCTTGGGACAAGAGAAATATCCGGTGTAGCAGCGCTTACTTGTTACGTGCCACCACGGATCTCGTCGGTTGTGTGTCGTATAACGCGATAAAGTAGTCGGGCGTGAATTAGAGATAATAATCCAAAAAATGAAGCTGACGTCCGATAAGACGGTAAAACGGTGCAAACAATAAGCGTATAAAGCGATAAGGTACGATTGGACTAAAAATAGTATTCGGGTCGTGTAGTCGAAATAAAAGAAAGAGAAGGATGAAGAGAAGAGAAAGGAAAAAGGAGGAAATATAATCTTTCGGGAAAACTTTCCAACGATTTTACGGATTTAGAAGATCCAAGTATACCACCGTTGCGTGGACGGGATTTTGAAAGGAACGAAAGATGGAGCGGAAAATGCGCGAAACCGATAAGCTTTGTTTGCGCAAAAGGACGAATCATGCGCATCGATAAGTAGAGAATTTATATAGATACGCGTATAAATAGAAGCGTGGAACTGGCGAATCACTGGACGGAACTGTAAAGAGTCGGCGAAACGCGTTACGCGTTCATGAACGCGTATCATCGATACGCGTGCAGTCTGAGTACCGACCGAGTAAGTACACGCGTCACGAGTTCTTCGAATGATGCACCAACTGGAAAAGATGCGTACCGCCATCTCTAGGTGGCTCGTAAAAGGAACCACGAGCACTTTGCAGCGCGCAAGCGCGCGTTTCGAAATTCGCTCTGGAAGACGGTGGTTCCGCGGTATCGTGCTTCGTAACGCCGAGATCGCGTCGATCGAAATTAATTATTCGATTTCGTGTTGTTCGTCTTTCACGGCTGCTGTATCGATCGAACGAGTAACGAGACGCGCGAATCTTCGATCTTTGATCCGCGATCTCCGATCTCTGATCTCTGATCTTCGATCATTGTTCGATCGTTGGCGCGACTCATTCTACGCAGCGATCCTGTCCACGCACCGAAACAAGGTTCCTTTTCAAACGATACGCATATATATATATATAACGCGTATATATAGAGGTTCGAAGCTGACAGTGCAAAATGGCACAAGGGCTTATTTAAATTCGATCGAAATTGGCTGCTTGCCTATTGACCAACTGCCACCATCAGCCGCATTGCAGTGACCTGCGATGTTGCGCTTCGTATATCGTATTCGCGGAACGTAAAAGGACTGCTTCGGACCACGTTCGATCTTCCATCCACCGCGCGATAACTCCCTTTTTCGTTCTTTACGCGTTCCTCCGAAATAAAAGCGCGCGCGCGCGCGCGCGATTCCTCCATTTCTCGAGTCGATGTTCGACTTTCGCCCCGATACGCGCGTTATTTTCTCGACCGCGGTTAAATTAAAAATAAACGTTTATCGGGAAGGAGGAGCGAGAACCGTAGGCAGCGACAGAAGCGGTAACAGGTACGGGAAGAAGGAGAACGTCAGCGATAGCAACGGTAACAGCGACGGCAGTAGCGAACAACCCTTTGTATCTTCGGTTCCGTGCCATTAGCGACGTATATTTAAGCCGGTGTACATGCCGTCAACGAAACAAAGCTCCGCAAATATCCTGAGGGACAAAAGGCTTACGTCAAAGAATAAAAAGGGTAAAAGGGTGCAAGAGCGAGAGTGGATGAAAGCGGTTGGCGGGCGAACGAACGAACGAACGAACATACGAAGGAACGAACGAGATGGTCGACGCTGCTACTCGCTCCGGGACACGGGAAAGACCCTTTTCTTGGCCTTGCACTTGTTACCTATCAAGGTCGCCCTTTCGATGCTTATCATTTTCACGGAATTACGCGTCTCGCGGCGTATCGCGCCGATCGGCCATCGAAGAACCGGCTCGACGTTTTCGGATCAACGATCATCCGCGACGACGAACGAAAGGGAAGAAAAAAGGAAAAGGGTCAAAGGGAAGGTAGAGGTGACGATAGTCAGGATGGAAACGTTAACCGAGAAATTTCTTTTCCACCTTTACGCAAAGGGATCAACTTGCCACGGTCATCCGTCGAGAATTCTCATTTATCGAAGCGTAAAGTGATCGAAACGAGAATCGATCAACCTGGCTCGATCTAGAAGCAATTAAATATTTTTTGCCGCGTTTAGAAAACTATCCTCCGGAACGGTACTATTCTTTCCGATCTATGTTTTCTCTCGGTCGCTGTCGATCTTGCTCGATTCAGCGATCCCAATTGTCCCTCTGTTCTCCGCTTTCGCTCCCTTTCCCTTTCCCTTTTCCTTTTCCTTTTCCTTTTCCTTTTCCTTTTCCTTTTCCTTTCCCGCTTCGTCGATACAGGAGCAAACTTTGGCCGGCTTGGACGCACATCTACGTTTCTTTTATCCACTCTCGAACCGTTCTTCGCTCTCGTATTTTTACTTTATACGTTCCGCGAGGTAA